AGAGTTATTCTTCCAGTCTCTTTCTTTTCCTTCAGTAATGCTTTGGCAATTCTAGGTCTTTTGTGGTTCCATATAAATTTTACTATGATTTGTTCTAGTTCTGTGAAATATGTCCTGGGTAATTTGATAGGGATTGCACTAAATCTATAGATTGTCTTGGGCAGTAAGACCCTTCTAACAATATTGATTCTATTGATATTGATTTAATCATGACTTTATACATTACTTCATTAACATTTTAAACTACATAGTTTAATGTCTTTTAAAGATGAGAAATTCTGTCCAAGGGAAGAATAACAAAACTATAACAAAACTATCTTCTATACCTAGTATCTTTTATATTTATCTTTCATATTTAGAATATTCTGAGCTGTAAATTTCAGTTTCAGATGTAATAGAAAGGTACCTCCTATTAAAGGAAAGAGGTTTATAGAAGCTTTTACTTTTAATAAGATGCTGAACCAATGTCTCACATAGACTAGTGTCTGTTTTCAGAAAAAGTCATTTTTATGAGGAAATCTCATCTTCACTCTGGTACTTCTTGCTACTTTCATGAGTGTGTTGCATGGAAGCCTCCTGGGGAAAGCAGTCACAAAAGAAACAAGCCTAAGAGCTCATGAGCCTGGACCAGCTAAAGCCAAATCCATGGGAAAATGTCCTCTCCCGGCCTGTTGCTGCCCTCCTGTATCTTGGCAGAGTACTCAGGCAGAGCAGGCAATTAAGACATTATTTGAGAATCCGGATACAGCAATTGAAATCCTGGGCACTGAATTGCATCACAGCTGTCACCACTGCAAGGAACAGAATAAGGAAATGCGACAGAAACAGGAGGTCCTACAGAATATTCAGAGGGCACTTAAACTTAGCCAATTTTCTCTCAAAAAAGGATGACAGCTCCATCTTCTCAACAAGGCTCTAAATAGTAATGATGGTTATCATAGCGAACAAATCTTGGCATTGTCACTCCTTTGCGTTATCTCGTGTTGTTCAATAGATATACAGTTCAAACTCATTTTTTAAATCTTAGATTGGAAGGTGCAGTCATATCAGAGCTTCTTTTTTAATTTTTTATTTATTTTTTGGAGGAGGGGAGGTAATTAGGGGATTTAACCCAGGACCTCATGCATGCTAAGCATGTGCTCTACCATTTGAGCTATACTCTCCCCCCAATATCAGAGCTTCTTAAATGGACTAAAGAAGCACCAACATTGTTTATTAGGAAGAAAATGCCTCATGAATAATCAGAAACCTCCAAACTATGTCTTCACTGATGGTTATTCTACAATGCTTTTGAAATAGCTCATATACCACTAAATATCAATTTCCCCCATTTAAAGATGAATAAAGATAAGAATTTTTCTGCAGTAATATAAAAATAAATACTGAAAAGCAAAAATTAAGATCACTAATATTTTTCTTTCTTATTTTCCCATAATCTCTCCTACCCCCCATAGAGGGATTAATGTCATGTGTATATATGTGTGTGTGTGTGTGTGTGTGTGTGTGTGTGTTTTAATCAGACCATTTGCCCTTCATTTGACGAACCTACTTCTTTCCTGTACTTCATTCCTTTTGAAATTGTTACAAGAAAGCAATTTCTTACTATTCACTCGAGGAAATTAGTTTTGGATCAAAACAGTTCTAAAGTCTGACCATGTAGTTCAGGTTTCCCATCATGGCCTTTCAAGATAATGTCCACATAAGTCCAGCCAATTAATTAGCTGGCAGTCTTCTCCCTCTTATTTAATCATTTTTCAGTAAAAGCCAAGATTTCTGACTCACTGGTTATGGAATTTTTCCTTGAATCTCAGTAATACAAGAAAGCCTACAGTACTAATATGACACTTCTATTAACACAGTCATAATACATGTTGTCTCTAAAATTTCCAGTTCAGGAAAATAAAACTTGCTTCCCCTGAATAAATTCTCTCCCAAAGTCTTCAACATTCTAATCTAACTAAAAAATAATATACAGCAAGATGTTCTTCCACATTCAAGTCTGGCACTTCAGTATTCTTCCCACTATCACATCCTTCTAACCCTACTTTCCAATTTACAAATAGACTCCTTGTCAGGTTAGGGTTCTCAACTTGATAACATACATAGAACAGGCTTTGGCTCCCTAGAGATCATTTAGATACTATATAATAAACATATACACATGTATGCTTTGTGTTTGTATATATGGTTGTGTTTTTTAACATGTAATATTTAAATTCCATATCTGATGAGCTATCATTAAATTCTGTTCTTTAGAAAATAAAAATTAACTGCATTTTGTACAAGAAATTATATTTCATAAGGTTTTCAAAGCACCACTAACTTATTTTTCAAACCCAGTAGACCTCACAAAAGTCAACTATGGTCATTAGTAATTGTATATCTTGTCTAACTGTCCAATTTTGTTTAGCACCAGTTCTCTGGCCCTCATGCCAAGAAAACCTGTTTGTATGTATATGAATAGGCCAGAAGACCTACATAAGTGGATATTATCAGAAAATTTCAGCCCCCAGAGCTACTTGTAATTGTCCATCTATAAATAAACCCAGTTCTTCAAGCAATGACACTGTAGGTTTCCAGCAAGCATCTCACAGAGCTGAACAATATCACCCCATTGCTATAAGCATTTTCTCAGCAAGCTACATTCTAAAGCTAAGCTGGGGTTTGAAAAGCATTTTTTACACATTTGCATCTTTAAGCTCCTAGACTCCTAACAGTTTTGAGAGCAGTCAACTAGGCATTGTACAAGCTCTTCAGGCAAATGCAGATCAGTAGAAAATAATGTCTTCTCCTTCAAGCAAAGAGAATAATTCCAGCTTAAAGGAAGAATATGGGTTTAAATGAAAAACAAAAGAAAAAAATAACATTAAGGAATAAGACAAGGGATATTACCTGGATGACCTTAATGGTCCCTGACTTAATAACATTTGGGAGACAACTGATCAAACTTCTATTTCACTCTGCTTGTATAGATATAACTTGTGTGTATATTCAGGAAAATTACCACAACCTTCCAAATTATAACTAAGTGATGTGATACCTAGTTAGCAGTTCATATGTCTTCTGTCCTTTCTAAATCCAGGAGTCTTCACTTATGCAGTATGTATCCTGGATCTTCTGAAAACTATCATCTAGTGTGAAAATAAGGCTTAACTCTTCTCCTTGTCTCTGAACAAGGACCTGAAAAGCCCAGCTTCTGTTCATGTTCTGCTGCCTGTGGCCTAGATGAATTTAATGTGTTCTCATCTGCACAATGGGTATAATTTTGCCTTTAAGAGTTTGGTGAATATAAACTTAAATAATGAATGAAGAAAATCTTTGAGAAGAAATGCAGAGTGCTATATCAGTGTAAATATTTATTTTTTCATAGTCATATACCATGAATTAATCACATACAACTCTTTAAATATATGCCTAAGTGTTATTCAAATCCAGTACTACCTAAAGCAAATGTCAAATTTTGCCACAGCCACTAAAGTAAAATAAATAGTTTCTGGGTCTTCCCTAAAGCTTTCCTGGACAAAAGAGAAGAGGAACAGATTCAGATATATTAGTATTTTGTTTTTAAAGTTATTTGAACTTTTAAATTGAATTGAAATATGTAAACATAAACCTTATGAGCTTTATTTAATACCAGCTGGGTAACCAATCACAGGTGGACAGAAAGATCATTTAGGTACCAGAGGTCTGTGCCTTTCAAATGAAGGTGCCACGTCTTGATTGCATCCTCTTCTTCACTTACCTTCCCTTCTTAATCAATGGCCAAATCCTCCTAAATGTATCGTAAATATGTCTTTCTCTTTTCATCCATTTAAACACTGCTACCGGCCTTGGTAGCAGCCTACTGGATTCTGGTCCAGTGCACCATCACACAGATAGTACAGATACCCCAACTATTTTAAAACAAGAAAATCTACACTCTCATACTTTACTAGAGAGACCTCCGTCTATTTTAAAAGCAGGTATTAAGAATCTCTTGATTGCACAACACTGTACTAGCTTTCCTAAGTTAGAGTTGTTTAGAATGATTCATCATCTCCAGATAGTCATTTAAATTTTTCACTCAGGAATAGACCCATATAAACCTGTATTTCAAGATTACACATAACATCAGGACTTAATAGGGTATACTGAAGAACCAGCAGAGCAATACTCTTTATTTTCAAAGAATAATACTAGCACCATAATGTTGCACATTACTCTTGGTCTTGATCCTATCTTTCATAAGCACCAGCCTCAGTAAACTCTCTCAAACCACCATGGTTAAATATAGAAAAAATATATTTGGTCCTTCTGCAGATTATCTTGGCCACTTTTATTTCTATATTCTACATTTCAACCACACATAAATTTTTTCTACTTTTCAAATGTTCTACATTGTCTTTCACTATAAATCATTTTATAAATGCTGATGTCTTTACCTGGACACTCATTACTCAAAGACCCTCCTCCATCAGCTCACTTTAGTTTACATATCATTCATATTGTTTCTCAAAGACACTCCTCTGGGAAGCCTCATCTGACTGTTCTTGAATACATAAGAGTCTCTGGTGTAAGTTCATGTTGTATCCTCTTAGTCCCCAAATGGAGCTGTTGCCAGAGCTGTTGTAATGAAGACTAATTTCTTTTTTTATTGGATGGTAAGCTTCATGAAGGTAGGAACTGTGTCATTCTTATTCACTTTTTTATCTCAAGCACTTAATACTGTATCTGGTATATATCAACAGCTCAGAGTATTTGTTGAATGGATGAAGACTCCAGAACTCAATGTCTAGCTCTTCTGTAAATGTTTCCTATCTTTTTCAGCCCTTTCTATCTCCACCATATTACATTAATATGTTAACCCAAATTTGAGATTTTACTCTTTTGTTATTCATTAAAGGTATGACTGTTTTTAGCCACTTATATCAATCAGTGTCCTTAGTTACAAGCAACAGAAAGTGATTCTCACAATAATTATATACTTTGAGTAAATCAAAGAATCTAAAAAAGCCCAGTAACTAGTAATCATAGAGAATTCCCAACCAAGGAAATGCCTAAATTCATATAAAAAAAAAACTGGTCTCATGAAGATATCAAGCTACCACCCATGGATGCAGACACCTTAGGTAATTCCCCCAACCGCAGCAGTGCTAGCCATTATGTACTCCTACTATCCCCCCATCACTGTTGTCTATTGCTTCTGGAGCGAGGAAACAGCGGTGCCCACAACCTTGCCTCACCAGAATGCATCCTAAGTAGTGCCTCTTTTATCTCAGAATGTGTGTCTGCTTGTCAGAGCTGGGCCATATGCAGCAGAGGCAGGGAAGAGGGGTGCTCTAGTGGAGACACAGGCAATCTCATGAGGTAGAAGAAGCTTCAAACACCGGGTGTGGTGTTGGGACAAAAAAGGGGAAATGTCTACTATAACCCACACAATTATTTCATGAGTTAGGATGAATGAATCTTGATAGGGACAAAATCCTATCTTATTGTTCTGTGTTATTTCTCAAAGCACCCAGAACAATGTACTACATACAGGAGAACGTAAATGATTAATGTTTTAATATAGTAACAGGCTTTCAGGAAAAAACAGCAAATAAACTCACATCAAACAATGCCACTGAGAGGGGCTTCAAAAACCCCATTTGAAAGCAGGGTCCAAATTTTACCACAATCCATGTGACCTTCTTAGTTATGCCAAACCATCTGTTACATTACAGATCTCGGCCTATTTAACCGCAGTGCAAAATATGCGAAGCAAATTTTCCTTTAAGCAGGCAGCAGGTGCTGACTGCTTAGCAACATGGAATAATGAAGTGATTATGGGACTTCATAAAGAATACTGTAGACTTACACAGTATTAGGAAGAAGACATCACGTGCCATGAAGAAGCCAACCCTCCAGTAACAGATTCTCAGACAGCCAATCACCAGCATCACTCAGAAGAATGCCTGGTAGACAGAAGTTATAAAATTTGACTCATTTACCCTTGAAAGCAAGCATTCCACCAATGCAGCAATGACAGAGAGATCAAAAACAGATTGTATATAGATGCATGGTCTTTCAGTAATAAAACAGTTATTTCATCTCTTTATAGTAGAGCAATGGTATGAATTAGAGGATACTTAGGAGATTTTAAAACTTCATTTCACAAAGCCAGGATTAATAAAGATTCACTGGCATGGTATTATTTACATGAACAAGAAAGAAAGATTTTATTTTCTGCCAGAACTGTTGAAGTATCCTAGTTGAATGAGCTTCCTGCAGTAGGCTATGACCAGGCTGGCCAGAGAACAATTACATTACTAGCTTGCTTTTTACCTCTAAGCTTGGATATAAAATTAAATCTATGCAGAAGCAATTTCAAACAAATACACATAAAAGAGATTATCATGGCTTTTCTTCTCACACACAAATCTGTTCAATAAAATCTTACTATCTGGAGTGTAGTAATCATTCAGGAAGAATAAAGAAAAGTTTGAAAAAGAAATAATTCCTCTATCCAAAAGTTTATACTGTAGTGACAGGATTTCACACAGTTTTCACAGATTAAAAGTCCTGAATAGTGTTACAACCTTTGAGAAAGCTTTTAGTTTTTCTCTATATACCTTTTTCGGAAATGATTAAGATTTCAAGCCATGCCCAAAACATAAGTTCTAAAATTTTTCTTTAACTGTATGCAATAGGAAAACTCAGTGTCTTTCAGAAGTGCTTTTCCTTAGTCCTGACCAAAACACTAAATTGGCAAAAAAAAAAATTAGGTATAAATTAAACAGATAAAAAGTATGACTTTTCACATCTTTCACATGCCTTGGCCTAAAACAATTTCTTTAGATAAAAAGAAGATACTAGTAAATATGTTCAGAACAAAGCCATTTTTACAGCAACGAGAATACTGAATATTCCTTTATGCCTATACAGAGCAGAGGCTACCAGCAGTCTCCGATATCCATTCCACTCTCTTTCTTGAAGTCTTCTCTTAATTAGCACTAACTTTTACCTACCCACACAGCCACACCATCATACATGGGGCATTTCTCAGGCTCCTTAACAGGTGGATGTGGTCTGATGACAGAATCAGACAACGCAAAAGAAGCCAAATGTTTCAGAGCAGCTTCAAGGAGCCCTGACTTAATGATGGCCAGTGAATGCCCTTTCGGCTCCTTTTGCCTTTATCCATTTTTCACCCACTGCTTAGAGTATAATCAGCATTTTGAACTATGGGAATGAGGCTCATTCTTTAAGGATGGCAAAGCAGAATCTGAAAGGAATCTCACTCCTTGTACTACCTGCTCTGAACTTCTACAGGAGAAAAGTAAATTTCCCTCCTGTTTAAACCAGTTATCTGGGATCTGTATAAATCACAGGCAAAATCAAATCCTACACACATGCATTGATACAATATATACAGAAGCTACTGCTAGAGGCCTATTCAGTAGCCCTTCTCCCCTTGTTTCTTTAAAAAAAAAAAAAAGAATTATAACTCTGTCCTAGAAACAACTTTCCTAGACCCAAGAAAAAAAATCGTAAGTGGGTGAATATATTCATGTCAATTCCATGACCCTCTGCCAGATAATAATTTTCTCAGCCTTCTTACAGCAGAAGAATCAAATATCTAGTTCTAGTCAAAATAAGGGGAGACTTATGGAATTACGTTTCTCTCTGATGAAAGGAAGACCCCTTTCTCCACTCAGCCTTCCCCTACAGCCAGCAATGCCCTTGAATGAAGATGTGGCACTTGAGGTTGTGGCAGTGACCTTATACTCATGAAACAAGACTCGAGGGGGAAAAGCCATCAAGTATAGAAAATCAGGGTAAGGATGTTAGGACTACATTCCTGAGCCATCCCACTAATCTGAGAATCACTTTTCTTCAGACCCCTTGATTACCTGAAATAATTCAACATCTTAAATGATACAAGTCACTACTGGCCTGGTATTCGATCACAGCAGAAAGCTTCCTCTACTGACACATTTTGGTACTTATGCAGAAAAAAATGTGTTAATAAAGCTATCTTTAGAAATTAGAATAACAGGAGGACTTACATTCATAGTTTTATAATTGAAATGGCTGGATTTGTTTATTATAAATATAAGTAACTTTAAAACAAAAATAATTTTATTACAAAGAATGAATAGTCACAGAACTTCTTTAAATATTTGTTTAAATCTAGCTCATATATTGCTAGAAATATTCTGTTCATATTTTCTTTATGATTGAAAAATGGTAAACATTTAAATATTTGACTATAATAGGTATTGTATCTTAATCTCACAGTCATCTTGCTTATCAATAAATATCTATTTAATAAATGAGACATTTTATTTGATATTCTAATATGCAAAGGTTTTTAAATAAAACCCACTTTACAGAGAGAGTATGATGTCTGACTACCTACTAAATAAATGCATTTTTTTAAATTCAAGACAGAAGGAAGGAATCAGGAAATCCAAGTTAATGACTCAAAAAGGAGTGAAAAAGTGTCTGAAATACAGTCTTTCTAGGACAGGGCATTACTCTTTAAAAGTAAGATAAAACTATAGGTATCTTAGAGTATTAGGGAGAGGTGGGGAGTAGGGTATAGTCAGGAATGGAAAGGAAGCAAAGGACGTCCATACCTATTATAAGCACCTGATTGAAGCTACCAGAAAGCAAGCCAGCTAATAACTGACTAAAATATTGCAAAGAATAAGAGCCAAAAAATAGCCTGTGTGTTAGGATAAAGAGGAAATCGACAGGGGTTCAGAATTAGAAATAGGGTAGCC